GTGTGTGTGTGTGTGTGTGTGTGTGTGTGTATGTGTATGTGTGAAACCGGAGCTGGTGTTTTGGACTCCTGTGGATGAAGGACGTTTCCTCGCAGTCTGAATATTCTGGCCTGAATCAAAGTTCATGGTGTTGTTTCTCTAATTTGAGCCTTATTTTCAGCTCTGGCAGGAATCAACAATCTGGTGTTGCATTATGAAACAGACTGGAGGTCTGATGACAATATCTGCATATATTTATTTGAGTTTGTTTAGAACGAGATCATGTCTTTTTAATGATTTATATTTGTATGTTTGAGATTTATCTATGCAGGGATCTTACTGATTAAATTACTGCGTGTCCTGCGTGTTAGGAGTAACTACGGCTGCTGTACACAGGTGATATTTATTGAAGGATTGAATAGGAATATTTATTTCATATGAAGTTTTATTTTCTACATGACTTAGTTTCATCGCTGATAGAGACTACGCTGCAATTATTTCACTCTGAATACAAATAAAGGTTGTACGTGCCACTGTCCGCTGAGTGGGTGTGTGAGTTTGCCTGAGTGTTGCACGTAACTGTTTTAGACGCAGGATGTCAGCTAATGCCACAGTCAGCTGAATCATGTGTTTCAGGACGTCAATAGTCACCCGTCTGAAAAAAAGGAAAACCAGTGTGTGGAATGTTGACAAAAACAGCTGAGAGAAAGACATGTGCTTCACTTAAAGCAATAGTTCACCCAAAAAATGAACTATAATACTCACCCTCAGATCATCCGAGATTAGGATGAGTTTGTTTCTTCATCAGATTTGGAGAAATGTAGCATTGCATCAGTGTCTCAGCAATGGAGACACGGATGTAATTAAAATGCATTATAATATTTGCAGATTCCTGGTCACATCTCAAGTCGGTTGTTTGTCGGTGTAACAATGAATAGATATAAAAACACTGGTTAGTTATTCATGAGATCATACTATGCATCATAAAGTGCATTACGAAGCATAATGCATTAAAAATACTTTTTATAATGCAATATACAACAAAAGGGCACACATTGTATTTGAATAGCACAAATATATTGATCAAAACTATAGTACTTTGTCAGAAAATCTGATCACATGAAGTTTAATCAGTGAAGCATGTCTACAGTATAAAGACTTGTATTGACAAGACGAGCTGTGGCATCTCTGAAAATATGAATACAGTAATACTGTGGTAGGCTATTTCTCCTCTTCCCGATTCCCAGAGAATGCATGAATTGATCAAATGCATACATTACCGTTAATGCAACGAAAGTCGTTTTAGATAAAAGCATCTGTTAAATGCATAAAATATGTAAACATCCCAAAAAAAAAAAAAAATACAAACACTTGTTTCTTGAAAAAATTAATAAAGCATCTGTTAAATGCATAAAATATGTAAACATCCCAAAAAAAAAAAAAAATACAAACACTTGTTTCTTGAAAAAGATAATTTATTTTCTGCATTTCGTTCAAGTACAAAAAAAAAACTCAGAACACATTTCATTTGAATATCAAATAAATAAGATGCATGGCTATGCATATGATTGTTTAAAAAAAAAAAAAAAAAAAAAAAAAAATTAAGAGCACCTCTTCCACTTGATCTAAGAGAACAATAACTGCATCCAGACACATTGTTACACATCTTTGAACAAACCGGCACTTGAGTAACAGCAACGTCAAGTTTTCTACATGGAAAATAGTTGCCACATCTGGTTTCCATGAACCTGAGGTAAACGTTTCAACAGCAGCCCAAAAACTCCTGCTTCACTAGAACGTCAGCAAAAGTGCAACATAATAAACACCTTATTGTATTAAAGTCTTTTTTCATATACCCTACATCTGCATTACAAATGCCCTGCGAGTTGGTAACTTTCTGCTTTAAACAGTCATACAACACTTCAGGCCTCTTGTGAGACCAGCTTCATTTTAAAACCTGGTCAAATCCATGACATGGACATTCAGTCAGTCGGGCTCAGCATTCTTCAATCAAAAGCTCTTCAGAGCTGTACAGTTTTCTTTTAATAACTCTAAATCCAGTGCTCAGTTTAAGTGCATGTCTAACAACCGGAGACGAAGACGATCTGCTGGCGAAAAGCCCCTGGAGTTTCGGCCAAAAGCCCCTGGAGTCGAGCCTCAGCACGAGTGTGAGCTGGAAGGTGGGCACTAGGTATGGGTCGACTGCGATCTGTCCCACGGCTTCGCAGCTTCCATCCTGCTCCACGCAAAGGTCAACGAGGGCACCACGAAGGCCACAGGGCTCGCTGACCGACAGGTGCACCAGCTCCTGGCCGATGTGCTCCAGGAGCGTCTCGGGAATGAGGAGTTTGGAGCAGTGCAAGACGCCGTCTTTGGCATCGGTCAGGTTAAGTGCGATGAGCTGCACCACTTCTTTGCACAACGCCTCTTCGGTGGGGTCGAAAAACAAGTCGGATTCGGACAGATCGGCTAGGGATATGGAACCTGTGGGAGACGAATGCAAGCATGCATTAGACTCAAGACCTTGCATGATTAAGGTGCATTATTAACTTATGCATGGTAACTCATGCTTGTTTACCTGCATCTGATGCATCGTCTGTGCTGCTGTGATTGTCTGCATCGGAGTCCAGGCTTTGGCTGCTGTGCAGTTTCTGCATCAGGTTGCTCCAGGACAAGCGTTTGGATGGAGCATCAGATGTCGGTGTGGATGGGAGACCTGAGTCTTCAGATGAAAAGCTGGAAATCAGCTGCTCCTGCATTGTTCTGTTTTAAAGTGACTGTAAAATAGAAGATCGGTTTTTATTATTCATGCACGAGACACAAACGCAGCTGATGCACTGCAACATTTTTGTAAGGCGTTTAAATCAAGATGCATTTACTAGCAAAATGACTTATGATATAAAGTCTTGAATGCATTCTGAAAAATGTATTATGCTTTTGTATTGAAAAATGTGTCTGCATGCTTAAAACAAAGACAAAAATCTGCGATCATGGTCAGAAAAATTGCTTTCCCATTGAATTAAGTTTGTTTTTCTGACCCCATAGACAGATTTGCATAGTTTTAAGCATAACCTCACTAAATGTTGATTTTTTTTCCCTGAAAGCAATATCTAAAGTAATGTTGCTGCATGTTAATGCATCGTGATGTAAAGATGTTTAGATATTTGTTCTGCAAAACAAGAAAATAATTTCTGCAGAGTAAACAAACAAACAAAGAACAAAGCATTCTGTCATTTTGACTCAAAAAGACACATGCATCCGGTTATCGGACTGATTTTGCAGTGCTGATGTCAAGAATATTTGATAAAAAATACAGCATACTTTTGTCTTGCATTGTACTTCAAGGTTTGAATTAACAACAATGAAGAAAATAAAAACAGCCATAAAATAAGACACTTACCGATATTTTGCAAGGTAGATCTTCAGATGTGATTTTCCCGCAGATGAAATAGTCCGTAACAAAGACCAGAAACCAACAAAGCCGTGTGAGAAGCGGAATAAGTGCAGCAGCTGTTAGTTAGTGTCCGCAGTGAGTTCTGCAAAACGCTGACGCAACCCGTTCAGCGCCTGCCTATATAGCCGCTGGCGCTGGCCACGCCTCCTTCGAGTTTCCAGCCAATCGGCGTTTATGTCACGTCTTTCGCGTCCCAAGTTCGCCTGGTAACAAGCAGCAGCGCTCCTCAATGAGTCTCCGCTATTGTCTGCGGTGGTGGAGGGAGGTGCATTTGTCACATCACCTTTTGTCTTCGACTCAGGACATGCAGTGGCGAATCTCACGTCTGCGCAATTGTTTGTGGTTTGATTGGACGATTAAGTTATTTGCATCTCGAATCGAAACAGAGTTGTGAAATACTGACTCTATAGATGCGTTTTCATCGAGTACGTGCATGAAGAGCCACACAATGACTGATGATTTCAACTAAATAAACACACTGAGCCTTATGCAGTTTAATGCCGCTGATCCAGTCATTTAATATGGGATGTTGGCATGAGATACTTTTGGAAAGCGGACATATACTTCATCGTAAACAACTTTAGCTGTTCTTGTATTGTTGTTATTCATGTAAAGTTTATGAACTCGCTTTTGTACTTTTAAAAATGTTTTTGCCAAACTAATTAAAATGGTGAAAAACAGAATGGAAACATCTAAATTAAGAACTGAATACACTTATACCAACAAAACTAAGTTTTATGGGTTAAATACAATAGAAATAGTTAACAATAGGGCAAGACCTAAAACATAGACTTTTCCTTACATTTTAATCTAAAATATTGATTTAATAACACACTTGAACAATCTAAACCAAACTAAAAGCACCAAAAGTTCACTTTAACAGTGTCAGCGTTTCACATTTTTACTTACATGATGGTGGAAAACTTTACTAAATGGTGCTAGTTACACTAAAAGACAAAATGGTAACCTAAAAAATGGAAACAGCTGGTTTTATTCAAATAAAAAATAATGTAATGTCTCAGAATCAACCTACATACATTTTACCAAGAAAACTATATGTTATGGGTTAAACGTAGTTGCAGGTTAACACTTTTTACAGTGTAAAAGATGTAAATATACACTTTCCTTTATATTTTAATCCCAAATAATAATAAAAAGTCTATGGATGCATTAACCCTGTTTTCACATTTTAACCAAACTAAAGGGGTAAAGGGAAATTTGTTGGGAGTTTTTACATGAAACCCCTGAAACTAACCGAGTTAACACACTTTGGTACGTTAGAAAGATCCAACAAAGTTAAAAACTAGTCTTCACTGGAAAGAGTTCATAATAAAGCCAGATTTCATTTGATTAAGGCTTTCTGTCTTTCAGCTAAATTGGCTGCATTTGTCCAGTAAAGTGTGAAGCGCTGCAGTCGGGGGAGGTTAAGGAAGGGTTAAAAGTTTCCTAGTTTAGAATGAAGGACTGTTGCTGGTCATCAGAGACCGTCCCACACGGACAGGCACATTCCAGTCTTCTGTTTGCTAGTCAAGGGTGTGTTTTCTCTCAAATCCTGCTGCAACTTATGCATATAATGCATTTGAATCCGTTCAGCCGCATGAATACACAAACAATAATGGGCCTCAGAAGAGTTTTTCTGTGTTAAATCAATGCACTCATTTATGCAGTGCTTTTAGAAAGGCCTGCTGTTTGTTCACACCTCAGCAAAACTTGGCTTGAGGACAACTGCTGAAGATCTGACCTCTGCCAAATGTGCCTTAGAGACGCTTAGTGAATGGAAAACCACCTCAGTCCTGAGGAAGAGTGCAGTTTTAGCATGTATTATCTAATTTTTCTGAGCATTAAATTACAGTCACTCAGTAAATACATGATTTATACATGATTTATTATTTATTTACCTTTATTTAGCCAGGCAAGCAACTCAGATTCTTATTTACAACAACAACAACCTGGCAAGATTATTTACCCTAAATGAAAAACATAACTCCTGGGAATAAGAATTTTTGTTTTAGTCTGAGAGAGAGCTGGTTTACATGGAAGCTTGCTCTGACATAGAATAGAAAAAAAAAGTTCTGACTATATCTCACAATTCTGACGTTATATCTCACAATACTGACTTTATATCACACAATTCTGACTTTACATCTCACAGTTCTTACTTTACGTCTCAGTTCTGACTTCATATCGCACAATTCTGACTTTATATTGCACAATTCCGACTTTACGTCTCACAGTTCTGACTTTACGTCTCAGTTCTGACTTTATATTGCACAATTCTGACTTTATGTCGCACAATTCCGACTTTGTCTCACAGTTCTGACTTTACGTCTCAGTTCTGACTTTACGTCTCAGTTCTGACTTCATATCGCACAATTCTGACTTTATATCGCACAATTCCGACTTTACGTCTCACAGTTCTGACTTTACGTCTCACAATTCTGACTTTATATCGCACAGTTCTGACTTTACGTCTCAGTTCTGACTTTATATCGCACAATACTGACTTTATATCGCACAATTCCGACTTTACGTCTCACAGTTCTGACTTTACGTCGCACAATTCTGACTTTATATCGCACAATTCCGACTTTACGTCTCACAGTTCTGACTTTATATCGCACAGTTCTAACTTTACGTCTCACAATTCAGACTTTATATCGCACAATTCCGACTTTACGTCTCACAGTTCTGACTTTATATCGCACAGTTCTGACTTTACGTCTCAGTTCTGACTTTATATCGCACAATACTGACTTTATATCGCACAATTCCGACTTTACGTCTCACAGTTCTGACTTTATATCGCACAGTTCTGACTTTACGTCTCAGTTCTGACTTTATATCGCACAATACTGACTTTATATCGCACAATTCCGACTTTACGTCTCACAGTTCTGACTTTATATCGCACAATTCTGACTTTATATCGCACAATTGTAACTTTATGTCACACAATTCTGACTTTATATCACACAATTCTGACTTTATATCACACAATTCTGACTTTACGTCTCACAATTCTGACTTTACGTCTCACAATTCTGACTTTATATCGCACAGTTCTGACTTTACGTCTCAGTTCTGACTTTATATTGCACAATTCCGACTTTACGTCTCACAGTTCTGACCTTATATCGCACAGTTCTGACTTTACGTCTCAGTTCTGACTTTATATCGCACAGTTCTGACTTTACGTCTCACAATTCAGACTTTATATCGCACAATTCTGACTTTATATCGCACAATTCTGACTTTATATCGCACAATTCTGACTTTATATCACACAATTCTGACTTTACGTCTCACAATTCTGACGTTCTGACTTCATATTGCACAAATCTGACTTTATATCGCACAATTCCGACTTTATATCGCACAATTCTGACTTTACGTCTCACAGTTATGACTTTATAACGCACAATTGTAACTTTATATCGCACAATTCTGACTTTATATCGCACAATTCTGACTTTATATCGCACAATTCTGACTTTATATCGCACAATTCTGACTTTATATCGCACAATTCTGACTTTATATCGCACAATTCTGACTTTATATCGCACAATTCTGACTTTATATCGCACAATTCTGACTTTATATCGCACAATTCTGACTTTATATCGCACAATTCTGACTTTATATCACACAATTCTGACTTTACGTCTCACAATTCTGACTTTATATCTCACAATTCTGACTTTACGTCTCGCGATTCTGACTTTATATCGCACAATTCTGACTTTATATCGCACAATTCTGACTTTATATCTCACAATTCTGACTTTATATCTTGCAATTCTGACTTTACTTCTCGCGATTCTGACTTTATATCACACAATTCTGACTTTGTATCTTACAATTCTGGCTTTATATCGCACAATTCTGACTTTATATCACACAATTCTGACTTTACGTCTCACAGTTCTGACTTCATATTGCACAATTGTAACTTTATATCGCACAATTCTGACTTTACGTCACACAGTTTTTATATCTCACAATTCTGACTTTATATCTTGCAATTCTGACTTTGAGTCTCGCTGTTGTGAGAAAAAAGGTCAGAATTGTAAGACATGAAGTTGCAGTTTTTTTTTTTTATCCTCTGACAGAAACAGGCTTCCATAGGTTTATATATTTCCATGTAGCACACACACAAATAGTGTCACAATTAGTTTTTGTTAGTTTTGTTATTGCTCATGCCTCATATGCAGGATTATAGAGATGTACTCATAAATGTGGTTACTTTGGGAAAAAGCTAAAGTAAAAATTCTTCTCAGTATTTATCTATAACTAGGTTGCAAGTTTAATCCTAAAAGAGGGTGAACTGGAGGGTGACTAAAATTACAACACCAGGTTGCTTTGGATCAAAAACATGTTGAGTAAAACTCATTTACAGTTGTATAATGATCTTTACAACTTCTACGAAATGCTGCAATAATGGCTGGAAGGTTTCCAGGGTTAAAACCTAATGCTGTTTGTCCATTTGAATGAAAGCCTTTGACCACTTTAACTGTGTTTAATAATAAACCGTTTCTTCAGGACAAAGAATTAAGCAACCAAAGCAAATAAAGTTTTGAAATCTCAAGAAATCTATTACGTGAAACTCTCTCCTGGAGATTGAGTGAAGATTCACTAGTTGGGCTTTTATTTAAGTTCATGCACATAATACACAAATATAATGCAATTGGAGGTTTGTTGGAGGGAAGCCAAACTTCACAGATGCACTTCAGCAGAGGAGCACAAACAGTTCCCTCCGAATGTAGGAGGAACCACAGACAAAAACAAAGACACGTGTTCCCCGTCCAGGAACAAAACATACCATCCCAGTTCATTTACATTTCACACTATCATAAATCATATATCATATATTTTATGGCCATAAAGCAAGTTACCCAACTGTTGCCATGCATGAAAACAACAACAGAACTGCTGATGTACGTCTGAAAACATGAAAGAGCAATGTTTGTGCAATATGCAAATCTGAATATATGCATAAGAAACTGTGAAAAATATGTTCAGCTCATGTTTCACACCAAAAATAAAAAAATTATATTTTGCATAATAAAGCAGTATATTCAAAGGACCATAAATATTTTCTTTTAAACCCCAATTCTCATACTATAATACAAAAAATATGTATTTTTTTTTATTGTAATACAATAATGATATATAATTTAAACTGTACTTATATTAAATGCTAAATTATATTAAATGATGTGTATGTATGTGTGTGTATATATATATATATATATATATATATAGTGTTAATATTAAATACTAAATTACTGTTGTACTGCATTTATTTTATGATTAAAAAACCATTGTATTACAGTAACAGTAATGAAAAGATGGCTAATTTTTATGAAAAATTACATTAAATGTTAAAATGAATGAAAACATTTAAAATTAATTTTCATGAAAAATGTATGTTTCATTGTTAAACATCTTAGTGGCCATGCATTTTCCTCATGCAAAATAATATTTATTCTTTCTTTCTTTTTTTTCTGTGTAATGTATTTTTCATGAGCTCCACTCTTGTGTGTTTCCGGCATTAGGACCCAGCGGTCTATGCTATAGAGTTAGAAACGCCCTTTTGTTTAATACAGAAGTAGACAATCAACATCTCAGCGAGAACAGAACAGAACGTTCAGTACTTTCATTCAGAAACATCTCTGCGGCCTGCTTCGATAAAGGCTGATAAACATCTGCTGACGTTCAAGGCTCATCAAGCATCTAAAGGAACTCAAAGCAACGTTTACACAAGGCTCACATTGCATTGCTTTCTCTTTCAACCCCCAAAGTTTTAACATGAACTTTAACTTTTATTCTTATTATTTCCACATTAAAGCAGTAAGCTCCTTTTAGGTGATAATGGTGCCACACGACTCCTATACCCTCAGCCATTGTTTGAGCCAAACAGAGTTTATACACATGCTCAGTTGACTAAATAATAACTAGAGAAAAAACTAATGAAAACGGACTGACTGAAGTCACTGAAAAACATTTTTGTACAGGTAAAAATTTAAATATGACACACTTTTGCTCTATGCCTCACGCTTTGAATAACAAAATGCATTGACAAACACATGGTTTGAACTTTTTGGAAGATTTTAACATGACAGATGATTAGATGAATAATTGAAAAATTAGACACCAGCAGAAACTGAAAGTTGTTTCAGAAGCAGAGCAAGTTATTTAATTTTTTCCTATTTTTTAATAACTGTTGAAATGTTCTCAAAAAGACCAGGACTATTCATGCTTTAAAAAAAAAAGAAAGAAAATTAAACAAATAAATAAATAAATATCGGCCTTTTAGATTTATTATTTGTATTTGAATAGAATATAATATTTCCATATATTTGGAATACACAGTTTTAACAAAAACTAATAAACATAATGTGATGCATAATGGCAAAAGTATTTTTCTTTACTGTAATAAAAAAAACGATGATTTATTAAATAATGATATTAAATAATGATTTATTTAAATTGTATTGATATTAAATACTACATTTTATATATATGAAGTATTCTAATTTGTTGAGATAGTGAATTGGTGGGTTTTTGTTAAATGTCAGCCAAAATCATCACAATTAAAAGAACCAAAGACTTAAACTACTTCAGTCTGTGTGCATTGAATTGATTTAATACACAAGTTTCACAATTTGAGTTGAATTACTGAAATAAATGAACTTTTCCACGACATTCTGATTGAGATGCACCTGTATATATACACACACACACACATTTATAAATTAATTAAAAATATATGTAATTCATTCATAATAAATTCATATAAATGTTACAATTTTCTCTCTTTTTATTAAATACTAAATTATATAAAATAACTTTTAATATATCTATATATACACACACACACACATCAGCTTTTGTTGTACTGCCTTATTTATACTTTTTAACTGAATAAATCGAATTCTTTTTGTAACAAACAGATTTATGCTGATTCTGAACAATTTGAATAAATGTATTTTGATAAATATATTTAGATTTAGTTTTTTTTAATAGATGCAAATAGTTATTAATGAACTACGCCATGATTTTTTGAATGGAGAATCTGACCCGTTTCATTCACGCAGGACCGACAAATCATGCATCACATTTATTAGTTATTAGTTTCTTTATGTTAAAACTGTATAATCCAATATGCAATTAGATGCCATTCAAATACATAAATCTTAATTTTTGAGCACATTGAGAAAGTAAATAAAATTGATGATTTCATCAAAATCTTTAAACTTTATGTAAAGATTTTAATGCACCCTTTGATCGTCATTTAAATTATGAATTGTGCTTAAAAAGGCTTTTATTGTACATGTATTCAGAGTTCATACATGTAAAAATCAACACTGTGAAAACATGGGGTTAAAGTATTCCTAAGGCTTAATCCAAAAACACAACGCACATTTACACACATGATCACAAAACATAATGTTGGTGATTATAAACCAGTGCAAAACATCATACACCTACAGTGCATGTAACATTCATAAGAACTCATTTCAGCTCATTCAAGATGAGGAAAAACAGGATTATGAATATGTTTACAGGCACAGAAACGGATCGGTCTGTTCTGAATGCAGTCATGAGGTCGTGAATCCCAGGAGCTGCTCGATGGGTTTATATTTCCACTCGTCCGCCTCCAACTGCTCCACCAGTCCGGCCAGACGCTCCATCCGTGACACCTGCTGATCTGAGATCAGAGACCATCCAGATCAACCATCGGTGAAGCTCAAATTCTCATACAAACTCTAATGTGCACAGAAATCAACATCAGCTGAAAACGTGCTCACGCTCAGTTCATCCAAGTTTAGGATGAGTTTGTTTCTTCATCAGATTTGGAGAAATGTAGCATTGCATCAGTGTCTCAGCAATGGATGCTCTGCAGTGAATGGGTGCCGTCAGAATGAGAGTCCAAACAGCTGATACAATAATCCACAAGTAATCCACAGCACTCCAGTCCATCAGTTAACATCTGGAGAAGACAAAAGCTGAAACAAATCCAGCATTAAGACATTTTTAACTAAAATACAGACGAGGACGAAGATGCTGCCATACGCAACCTACAGATCTCACAAAAACTACATTACAAACACCAGAACATGCCAGAAAACACAGTTCAGCTGAGGCACAGAGAGAGGTCGTGAAATAAAGACTATTACAGATTGATCAATTAAATCTGTAAAAATCTAATTGATCAGAAAAATCTAATTAGTGGCATGAACCATATATTCTGTACACAGCCATCATTTGAGAGTATTATGCACAAAGTGATCAGCTGAAAACCTGGTTTTTGTTCTGTTGACTAAAAAGCTACAAATATTTATAAATATGTGTTTACAAACATTTTTGCATTTGGTGAAAAATGTAAACAACACTTTTGCGCTTTGCAAAAGCTTCACGCTTTGAATAAAAAGCTTTATATAACAGCCTATAGAAAAACACAACACACACAGAACAATCACAACATTTCTTTATATTAATTCTGGTTAACTTTGACATTTTAATCAAAAACACAACAAACAATGGTATTGATAATTTGCGCTCATGAAAGCAACACAAGTAACAAAGGAAAATCATGAGTTATTAACACCATTTCACACTTCATTAGCGTTTCATGAGCTATATATATATGTAAGAATGAATCAAAATAAAGTGAAATGTGTAATATTTGTAGTTAACCTGCGACACCCGAAGCGCCGCTTCTGCTTCCTCAGTGCGTTTGTTTACGTCAGTTTGACGCTGATCGGACGTCACAGCGCCACCTGACGTCGCGGCGTAAAGAGGCCCATTTATTTATTTTTATTTGATCGTTTAATTTACTAAGTTATTGGACATTATTAATGTATATAATGTTATGATTTTTCAAATTTTAATAAAAAATATGTACTAAATACGAAATAGTAAATGCTAATGGAGACGTATCTTGACAATTAAAAGTTAAAAGTGCAATATCATTCACTTTTCTATTATTTAAATGCTTATTATATATTTAAATA